CGAATCCACCAGTGCCGTATGTCCTGTCATTCAAAGCAGGGATGTCAAAGCCTTCATGCATGATGTTCTTATCCTACGTCTTCTTTGATGTTCGGGAACTACCAGTATGACCTGCCCACGATGAATTCCGCTCAGCATCGAGTGTAAATCTCGGGGATGGTGAAGAGCACAACTATGATAAGACTGAGATACCTGGCATGCCCGATTCACATCTGTCGAGACTGCAGTTGAAGTTCCAACCACAAGACTCAAGACCACAGAACAGCATCATGTAAAGACGCAAGGTCTGCACGTAAGAAAGAAGCTGAATGAAGAACTTCCTGTTGTAGAAGCCCACGCAGTTGTTGATCCACGGACAGTGGTGATCCTGGAAGTTCGTCCGTAATATGAGGCAGCTGCAGGTATGATGATGATCTCAACACAATGATCGCCGAAAAGAAGCTACGACAATGCTACTGATCATGTTTGGAAAATGCAGCAGCCGTTTTCCATTCCTGTCCGCGAATCAGATGGCTTGGAAATACGCAGGAGCTGCGATAGCCTCTCCTGCGATGGCTCCTCTGCAAACCTGCCCAAAGATGCTTCTGCATCCTGCAAAAACTGGACGGTCTGCTCTTCAATCCAATTACATCCATTCTGGCACAGCTGCCACTTCAGTGCAACTCTTCGCCAGAGGTCTAGCTTCAGCACGACCAACATCGAGTCATCGCGCGGATAAAACATGCCAATCAAATAGAGAGCTTCTGCACCCAACCTGCAGCATGCAATGAACCGTACGAAGTCTGCAGCAGAGATGGCATAGGCCCAGTCCCCGGCAGATCTTCGTTTGATGAGGGCACTCTTTCTTTCTTCTAAGGAAGCATCGTAACCCTCTCCATCCACGACACTGCTAAGTGCAAACTCAGCGAGCCGCGCTGCCAGATCATGACAGCACAAGCAGACGGACCAAGGGAGGTCTAATTTTGTGACTTGCCCGCAAGGGTCATTCCACGCATAACTGCAAAAAGCGAGATCGCAAAACTCGTGCCTCAGAATGTCTGAGGAGATTGATGCCAAAAACTTTGCCAGGCTAGGCACACGCACGACTATGCTCGAGCAAGTGGTTCGGACATCGTTTTCTGATAAATGTCCCAGACTGTCCGATGCGAAGTGCTCTTCCACCTCCAGGTGCAAAGACTGGAGTCAAAAGCCTACACGTACTCGGAGGCAGCTCTCTGCAACATCAATGAATGGCTGTCTTCAGGTCTGGGACATTCCAGTCGAGCCTGAGCAACGCTCACCACGTCACGCTCGCGCTGGAATCCCTCCGTCAAGAGGAGGCTGGAAGTTTCTGCGGGCGCTCTGGCTGCCTCCAGATGCCAGGCCACAGAATTTAATTCTTCAATCCTACAAAGCGCTCGACGCAGAGCGCCTCTTGACAAATCTGCTCACAACGTCGTGGGTGCCAAAGCCTCTGCCAACGCCGGCCCACTCTCCAAGCATTCCAAGAGACTGAATGTAGGAGCGTTGCTTGCATGCTAAGCCCGGCTCTCGTTTGGCTGTGTGAGGACAACCCACATGTCGCACACCTCCAATTGACCGGTCGCTGGTCCCGTGCGCAGCCGCGCATCTATGCTGGGGCCCTGGGTTGCGGACGTCCCCGCCCATACGCTGCCGCGCCTTTAGGACCTGACATCTGCAGGCGCGCGGGCGCACCAGTAACTCAAAAGTTGTCCTCTACCATCCACGCGACTCCACAGGCTGTCTTTCAATCAGGGGTGACGACTGCTTCGACATTTCTCCATTGACCTGCCGCTTCGTCGAGCCTTGGAGCAGAGAGCCGGATCTAAGGCGAGCTGGAAGTTTCACGACCCAAGGTCGGAGCTGCAGCTGTGTCAGCGGGGTGCCTTTCCGGCAGCACCTTCTAGTATTGCATGATTAAGGCATGCGCTTTTCGATGCTGCGGCCCTGTGCACTCAAAGTCCAAGCGCCTGGGCATCAGCTCATCAAGTGCGTGGGACACAGCCAGCTTCACGGTGAAGCTTTCTGCATGCCAACACACCCACAGCCTGACTTGCATCTAAATCTAAAGTTCAGGGCAAGTTTGATAGATATCTTGCGCTCTTGGGCCCCCAGCGCTGTGGGGAGAACTGACTGGGCAACTATGGACTCCAAGCATTGGTTCAGCTGCCCTACCTCCAAAGCAACATGATCTGGTCGGTTGGAAACTTCCCGGAAGGTGCCAGGAACACTCCGAGACCGCGGATTTCTGAAACAAGTTCTGGGTAAACAGCGTGGAGCCTCCGACAACGTTGTTATATGAGGAGCGACCACGATGGCAAGGAGTTTCGCTCGCACGCTTTCCTGCAAGCATGAGTTCAGGTGATTCTCCAAAACAGCGCAAGCGCAAGCCACGTGCCTTTACCACCGGTGCGGGTCTTTTTGCCTCAGACCTGGGTCACCAAAGCCACAACGGCAAGAGTTACAGAGAGATAGAGAGAGAGGGAGAGATACAGGGACAGAGAGAGAGAGAGAGCGAGAGACGGAGAAAGAGAAACAGAGAGGGGAGAGAGAGAGAGCGAGAGAGCGAGAGACAGAGACAGAGAGCAAGAGGGGCTGACAAGAAGAAGGTGAAAAAGTTCTGATCAAGCACTCCACATTCAGACATCACGCTGCCAGTTAGTCTTGTGGAAGGCAGTAGAATACTCTCCCAGGCGCCGACCCTGCAGACGGGAAATGTCAACGCCCCCATAAACGAAACAAACGAAACAGGCACAAAGGAAAAACATCATGCTGACAAAACCGCATGTGCTGCTGGCAAACTTCTGCACTCTGCACCCCTGCCCGCCACTCCAAAAGAAGGGGGAGCAGTTCCTCCTAGACACAAGTAAAACTCACTATTCCATCTTCGAATCTCGTGACTGTTTGAATTCATTCAGTCGGTGCAGTGTGTGTGACACGCACACACACACACACACACACCACTCGCTCACACGGTATCACACACACAGGCGGCTACCAGAGTGTCAAAAGCAAAGATCAGCGACAATTTGAAGACCCAGCGCGGTGTAGGAGATTAAGTCAAGCTGAAGCCATCAACATCCTGTACCTACCAACAGCGATCTCTCTCCTCTCTTCCAGTTCTCTCGGCGGTCCCAGTTCCCTGGCGGGGACGCGTGAAGCGACAGATCTCGGGCTCGGCGGAAGATGCTTTGGGGTACCGTCGCAACAGCCGTCGCACAAGTCGGGGGACTGGACGCGAGGGAGATCTCTGTGCCGCGGCCAGCGGCCAGCTCTCACTCTGTCCATGTACCGTTGCCCTCACTCACTTTCTCTGTTCTTCCTAGACCGTTCTGAAGGGGGTTTCCGCGTTGGACGACCGCATGGACTTGAGATGATGAGACCTGCCTACGGCCAGCACCCTGCCGTCAAAGTTGGGCCTTCTACTCAAGCTCCGCTGCTGCAAGCAAATCAACAAATCGTGTCTGTAGTAATCAGACAAGTGCAGGGGGTTTAGATCAACCTTCGGTGTGTGACAAGAGAACAGACACAGCCCAACATCAGAAAAAGGGCTAACTAAGCTAGAGATCTTTGCAAACATGTGACGCGCCGGGCCTCGGCAGGGCAACTTTCTCAGGCTCTTTCATGCCTGCTGCAACTTTCTCAGGCTCTTGCATGCCTGCATTTCTTGCACCCCAACCAACCGTCCACGACTCAACTCAAGTCACGTGGTCGGAGCACTGATTGGCTAACTCTGCTTGTCGAGGGTCTGCTGCTTTCATGCATTGACGGTGGTCTCATGGACTGCCTGCCAGCGGCTGTACGACAGTACGACCTACAGCCAGTTCATACGAGCTTCACGTGAACATGCCTGGCATCAGCAGCAAAATCAGGTACCTGCCAGCAGTGGTGCAACATTCCCGTCCAAGTAGAAACTACACTGGCAGACAGCAGCACCTTTCCAGCAAGCATCGCAGAGAATCGGCCTCAGCTGGGATCGAGAACTGCCGCATGGTGCCTCTGTCGACATCTGCCTAAAGTGATGCCACAGCTTCCAAGAAGGTGCTCCAGCTTGAAACTCTGAGCTTTCGACCGAGCTTACAGTCAGATGCTGTAGTGGTTTGCCTGGCACACAAGTCTGCACCTTCACGAGGCTGCACTTGGACATGCTTAGGGTCCCTCACGGGCACACACACAAACAAAACCGATCTGTGACTGATAAAATAACCAAAACAGGACGCAGCACATAGCCATCTGAGCGCGGGCCTCCCGAGAGACATGGGCAGGCTGGGCAGGTCCAAGTCTTACGGCTTCCACAGGCTGTGCTGTATTGTGCACGTCTGCCTCTTTCCGGCGCTGATCTGCAGCCTTCCGCGCCCAGGGATGCGCATCCAACCTCGGAGGCATGCCACATTAATGATGATCTTGATTTGCATCAGGCTCCCGACCATCTCTCCGCCAGTTGCACAAGGTCTTCCTTGGACTGAGCTGTGCCCGCCTAAGCTGTTGAGTTGCGCCGAACGAACATGAGGGCTGCTGCGCGTTTTTGTTCACTAGCTGTTGCTGAGACACAGCGAAGGCCGCAGCCGGGTCTCCAAGTCGTTCCCGCGCTAAGTCCTCGAACAAGCTGTGGCACTTCGACACGTAATTCATGAAGATTTTATGTACGGCATTAAGAGCTCTGAGTTGCCGACACAATCTGGCCTAAACATGGCCACGGATGAAGATGGTCATGGCAGTAAGCAGCAATGCGATTAATCTGTTCGGGGGTTCTTCGGGTTACCTGGGTTGATTTAGGGCCTATATCGCTTCAGCTACAAAGAAATAGATGGCGACCTAGCTAACTATCCCCACCAGAATCCTGTTGATAAGGTGACCCGGTGGAGGGGGAATTATTAAATTATGTATGTCCGTATGTATGCATGTATGTGTGCATGCATGTACGCATGTATGCATTGATGGATGGACGATAGGACGGATGGACGGATGGACGGATGGATGATGATGGATGCGTGTGCCGCTCACAGCATGACAAAAGATAGCCATGTGGCACGGCTGATGTAGATCGTAAATTTATCATCAGATGTTGCCCTCTCTTTCCTTGAACCGACACACCGGCGGAGCAGCGATGGAAGCTTGCACAAACAATCGCCGGTTTGCCGATTCCCCAACCAGTCCATGTTCAGGATGCAACGGTTGCAAATACTACCTCAGCTTGCCATGAGCTCGACCGCAGGACGCTGCGATTACCGCAATGAAGTTGCATTGCTTGCAGTTGCTGCTTAGCCGCAGTGGTGTGTCCGGTCAGGCTTCCAGACCTTTCAACATCCATCCGAATCCGTTTCAGCTTGTCGAGAACAACACGCGCTCTGAGGACAATGCATTGCACATTTTGCAGTACCTGCTTGCAGGCGGGGCTGTTGTTCACATACACAGAACGGGACTACGGCTCCCAGCGTATTTCAATCTGTCAATCAGGATGTGACGGTCATCGCGAGCCTTCTTCGCTTGGTCTCATCACCCATGTAGAAGCCCCAGTTTGGAGGCACTACGCCCGGATCGGTCATGACACACCTGAGCATGGAACAAGCGGATACTCGGGGATGGCTCGGTCAAAGCGGCCGTAGGCACAGTACTGGTAAAAGGACGCTAATAAGTTGACAAAGAAGATGTGGTAAACGAAGAGGACCGCCGCTGCGCCCGGCGCCTGCGCGTTCGCTACGAATGTCTGTAGTCAGCTAGCTGTGCTTCGGCACCGGTCTCAAATGAACTAGCCTTTCCACACAATCTTGAGGCAGCCGGTAGTTGCTTACCGGTAGATGTCAGTGAAACAGTCCTAACATTACGACGTTGGGGCTGACCGGCTATTAGCCTCTGCAGCACTTCAACCTCCCGAACTCGTGCATGAATTTGAATTGAGTCCACCGATCCCATGCCGGCAAAGAGTTGCAATCTGCAACATCGACACAGATGTGGCACCCTTTCCCTTCGATTGGGCTCGAGAGGACTCCAAACCGTCATCGGGTCTTCGGCCTGCACCTGCCAGATGCCCCAGCCCATACTTTCGCACTTGCACACACACACAAACAAACATCTTCTTTTATCAAACGTAATCACTCCTGTGCGTCAGCCTTCTCAAAGCTCGTGCAGAAAACACTTTCTGTGCCTACCCGGCGTGTTGCGCATCTGAGTATCCGGCCTCGCGGAGAGTGGCGCTTGTCTCGCCAGCGGGATCACCTTCCCCTTGCCTGGCAGTCGGTTTCTCCGACTCTCTAGAAATAAGGTCAAAGCATTCAATCAACACAGGCGCAGTATGCCGAGCATAGAATATAATGGCAGGCGGGCGTGTGAAGTACCTCGAAGGCTCCGACCCTTCGTACCTGACATCATGATGTACTTGTGACAAGCTCGGCGACGGCAAATCCCTGACAGGCTGACACTCTCCTTGGAGTGCTCACCACTTCCTCATCTTTGCTTCAAGCCACAACGAGCATCAACAAGCGACATCCATGTATCGGCAGCCGATTAGACTCCCATGCAGCACAGCGTCGGAAGCTCGACGACGAACAGAGTTGCAAAAGTCCAGGTAGCTGAACTCTCTGCCACTAGGATCGCAGTAGGCCTCGTGATTCAACGGATTGCTTCTTCGTATCACTGAGAGATGCCTTTATGCCTGCCTCCATAAGAACTTGCAGGTGACTCTCCCGCAAGCCCAGCTGTAACATGTCCATGATACGAAGGAACCTGGCCATTCAGCTACAGCTACCACTTGCAGGGGTTCTGTAAGATGCGCCTCTTCAATGCAACAGTTCTCGTGCAGATCCTTTTTTCGCTATAACAGTCTGGACGGCACGCCAGAGCTCCGCAGCAACTCTCGCAAGAAGTCCTCACAGTTGTGGGAATGGCACGCAAAATGCAAAGGCCTAGGTGTGCACTCTGCGATATTTAGAACACTCTAAATAGTGTCCCGCTTCTCTCTGCTGTCTGGTAAGCTCCGCCAGAAGTCTTCCGGCACGACCTCTGTCCGGCCAGCGCGGTGAAGCACTGCATCAGCACACACCGGTAAGTGCAGGACAGCGATCCGGAAGCCATGCCTCAGCTTTCGGTGCATATCTCAACTTGGCCTTTGCAAAGAGATCCGCGACATTTTCGAACACAAAATGTCCGACACGCACGGCAGATGCCTGCGACAATATCTAGACGCTTAAATGCCGGACATACAGCCAGAACAGCTCTTAATGGCAAAGGATCAACAGATCCATCTGCACGACAAAGCATCAGACTCATGCCTCGTCGTTCAACCATTTGCCGATCCTGAACGAGTCCCTGAGCCCGGAGCGACTGTTTACCGGAGTTTCCGTTTTGCCTCGCCTACGGAATGTACTCTGAACAGTGCGCCAGGAAAGATTCCCCTGGAGGCGTTGGCATTAAAGTGATTGGACGACGGGTGGCTTTTCTTACAAGTTAGCCGAACGATGGACTGAAGTTTCTTGAAGCCGCAGCGGACGATCTTGAGGGTCTGCCCAAAACTTGGCTCCTGTTCACGTGACGTTCTTCAAAGCTCAACCTGCATTCTAGCGTCAAGCAGTCAGCATGTCTTTGTGCCAGCTTGCACGGACAGAGGGAATCACAGATCATAGCGAACTGCGTGAAATCATTGACGAGTGCATTGTGCGGTTTGCCCGTCGCCCAGTTCCAACAGGGGGCACACCAGGAGACATATGGCGCACCTTCTGAAGGACACAATGTCCGGTGCATCAGACAAAGCATCTGTCTCACCACCTGGATGAGAATGAAGGAGCAAAGGCACGATAGAACGAGCATCCATCACAGCATCTAGTTCGCACACGGAACGTCGATACAGAGCTGCTTTGGCCGATGCGATGCAGAGCTGCTTGGAAACACCAGGGTTGCAAACATGTATGCTACATGTGCCGCCGGAGATGCTTCTGTCAAAGCGTGTCAAATCAACCGAGATATCGAAAGGCGTCCACTCAAAACCCGAAGAGACTCATGCAACGCCTCACACACTCAAGTGATCCATACATCCAAGTGATCCATACATCTGTGGAGTTCATCCTGCGCATGTCGCGCAGTCTCCAGCCAAAGCACTTCTGCAACAGGTACCTCTTCAACAAGACAGGTCCACGTACCTCGGCCAAGCTCTTCTTCCGTTTGGCATTCTGTCAAGAAAAGAGAGGTCAGGACTCTGGAGATCTGCGATGTCGTCGGCCCTGTCAGGTCCAGCCTTGGGATACTCAACTATGTATCTGTGGGATTCTGTGGATTCTCATGGATTGTGCATTGTGCACAACCTGGGAGTGGAACGTTTTCATCAGCGAGTGCGATCCATCGACCTCGTTGGATCCACGCTGGTGGAAAACAGCAGCGATTGCAGGGGACCTCGATGAAGACGATGGGTTTGGAGCCCCTCTTGGCGGAGACGGCGATGTCAACGGCCATGCCGAGCCTTCGTGCAGCTCTGAAGCAGCTCTGAAGCAGCTCAGCGCGGAGCTGGTCTTGGGGGGAGGCTCGGTCTGATGTTGTCTCGAAACTGATCCGCTGACCACCTTCTGCAAAGAATCGGCGATGTCCTAACGACAGATGCCAAGTCTCGGCATGTCCAGGCAACAGGAGTGCGACCCCTTCGGAAATGCAAAAGAAACTGCTGCAAGACACCACAGCTGGTTTGGCGAACACATCCGCGAACACGAGAGTTTCACTCCAACATCTGCTTGAGAAGGCTGCTCAGCTGGGAAATCCCTTGTCAGATCCCGCAAGCCGACCGCAGTGGCAGCAGGCATGCGAAACCTATACAGCAGCACTCAGGATTGGAGTGGTCTCGCTGCACTGCTGCTGCTTCATGATCCGGCGAGCTTGATGTAACCACCTCAGCTTTTCAAAGTGAACGACTCGGGTCTGCGTCGGAACTGCATGGAAATGTCACTGGAACGAACAGGGCAGTAGGGCTATGATCGCCATGCCTCCGTCCGGATAGAAAGGCTGCAGCCCCCAGGCTGATAACGACAGCCAGGAATACCAGCCTGTGCAAACTCTGCGACGACTCCGTTGTAGCCTTGGAGTGCTTCGAGACGTGTGAACGAAGAGGGTGCGGATGTACGGCTACGGGTGGAATCTGAGCTGTCAAGGCCGCTTTGGCTTGATTGAGAGCTTGGTCCTCAAGGGCTCTGAAAGAGGATTTGGAATCCTTGAATGCTTCGACCACCTGTGCGCAGTCACCAACCTCTGCACAATGCTGCAGCCTCTTCAGGTACCTTTGATCGGCTTCGTCCAGTTGGGCCTCCCGTGCCGATGCAAGCGCCAGGAGTTCCACGGCCCGATCCGCTGCCGTCGCCCTGTCCCTGTCCGGCTCAGCCCCGACAAGGATGGCGGTGAGCGCACAAACGAAGAGGCGCATTAAGTCCAATGCCCGTGACCCAGGTTTGGTCACAAACAACTCTTGGTTCTGTCAACTGTTTTACATTCGTGAGTGCGAAGCAAAGTCGGATGCCACAAACCGCACAGAACAACAAGGCGGATGGCACTACGTTGTGTTTGATTCCTTGAGCCCGGTAGGCGAATCACGAGAGTCCACGCACAACAGGGCTGCTGACGGTGAGCTCAGCTGCAGGGAATCAATAGACAAGAACGCTCGCCTTGCAGACCTTCTCCACCGAGCGGTCCAATTTCATATCTCTGACCCTGGGACGGATTTCCCAGCACACACGATGAGACTGAAACAAAGTGACAAGCTGGGAGACTGGCTTGCCACCACGTTGCTTTTTGTAGTGTGCTCGGAGGCTTTGCACCGCAGACTCCTGCACAGCCCTCATACAACCTAAACCAAAGACTACAAGCAGAGTCGAAGTTGACATATTTCCTGCCTCCAGCTCAAACTTGCCGTAGAGATCGCTGCGGAAGGCCTACTACCGGCATTACGTAAGCGACGCTTTGCAGCCCTTAAGCAGCTCAAGACATGGGTTCTAGAAGCCTTCAATGCCAGGTGGATCTCGTAAAGCTGGCACCTAGTCGCTGCAAGGCACTGCAACTCTGTCATACTGGCATGTTTGGAAGCATTTCTGAGGTTCCCGAGAATTTTCATGAATGTTCGTCTTCAGTAGCTTCGCACTTTGCAGTTTCATGTGCTCGGATCCACACAGTGTGTCCCCAGGCATCGTTGGGGCATCCTGTGGAACGCTGACGTCGGCGACGGCATCTTCTGAATATGCGAGCCGTTCGGGCCTCCAATGCCTTGAAGACGGCTCGGAACATCTGGTCGTGATAAAAGCCGAGGGTCACAAACCTCAAGATCAACGAAGTCCGCCACGCGAGCCAAGTCCAAGCTTGGCTGGGCTTTTCGCGTCCAAGCAAGTGAGCAAAACTCTTCTGGAGTGAGGCCGCCCTGCAAACAGTCTGAAGGCATCGAATGTGAGATAAAGCTTCTGCGGTACGACGCTGCCTTAGGACCTTCAGCCAAATGTTCACCAACAGCTCTGCCAAGAGCAAGGTCGCGAACCTGGTGGCCCACATTGAACACTACCATAGTACCACACCCACCCGGCCCCACCCCACTCTTGCAAAACGACTGCGGCTGAGAAAACATGAGCAAGGCACGGAGCACGTGGCCAGGCTGCGCAAGCCCTTTGCCAGCTCCGTGCCGGGCACCTGCGAAGCAGCGAACTGAGCTCCGAAGTGAGCCCTCCTCGGGTCCTCGTGCCTGTGTGACCTGTATCCGCAGCAGCTTCGCGGCCGCCTCCAGGAGGGGCAGGTGGACCATGCCTGCCTCGACAGAGGGAGAGAAAGCGAGCGAGAAACCCACACGGGCTCCGTCATGCCTTGTCGAAGGCGGCACAAACGAGGAGGATGTCCTTCCATCAAGAATCTCTATACCTGCCAGCCTTCTGGTGCATCGGCCCCCGTCCCGACTCCCGACCTCAACGCTGAAACGTTCACATCGAGCAACCGATGCCCGAGCCAACGAGGCGAAGAAGCGTTCCTGTGCACTTTGCACTGCATTGCCATAAAGCCTCCAGCTCTCGCCTCCGTCATGCTGATAGTAGCCATCGCCGTGGCTATCTGGCTCAAATCTTTTGGGGCCACATCCATTAGCCTGCGGTGGTGCTTCCGACAGTCACAGTCGTGTGACAGTCGTGCAGCTTGGTGCAAACGCGACACCTCAAGGAAAGTTCTGCTGCCGACGTTGTGAAGAATGACCTTGCCTCAATCGAATGCTAACTCACAGCTGCACAAGCATGCCGAGCATAACCGCTCTGAAGTCCGACAAAGCAGGTGCAGCAAGGTATGTCCCTGGCATCCTCAGACAGCTTAATCTTTCCCTCCGCATCGCTGCCTCGGGGTCTCCAGGTGGCAGGCAAACTAGGAAGCTTCTCTCGCCAAGTTGCCACTGACTGCAGCAGCCCAGGGAGCTAGAGAGGCCATTATGCGAGTCAAATGTGAGCCTGAGCTTCGCTTAACTTCCGATTCGCAAAAACGAGGCAAGGCCGAGACAACGACTAGCAAAGCGGGATGGATGAAGTGATCTTGCGATCTCATCCAAGAAGGAGGAGCTGCGAATACCTCGTGTTTCAACCGAGCGCAGGTGCTCAGCACGTGTACATCTCGGAGGATCTCGGGGGTGCCTTCTGCACCTTGCATTTTGCCGATGAGCTCAGCTGCTTTGGGCGGCTCAAGCTTCGGCAAGATTGCGCTGACTTGCTGCTGTAGATCCTGCGAAGTGAAGGAGGAGTATATCAGGGACATGCAGCTTCTACTTGACAAACCCGCCTTGCGCTCCTCCGAAGAGAGGTCAGGACCTGCAGCGCTTGTGCCCTGTGTCGTTTGCATTCGTTTACTCATCACGGTTCTGCTCATGCTTGCTTATCAACGAACCACAAGGACTTCGACTTGTGAAACGCTCGGGAGTGCAGGCTCTGCCATCAGTGGTGACAAGGTGGACAATGGTTTAGCTCTAGTGCCGTTGGATATACCGATATCTCTTGTCAGCGCATTTGGTGGGACTTTTGCCTTTACGGACTTGAAGTCCGCATGGAAATCCCCAGCCTGCACTGTCAAGCCTCTGACAAAGGCTCTCCACGGGCGACAACCTTTGTCATGGGATGAGTGGGCGACTGATGGCGATGATAGATAGGTGCAATTCTGCATAAGTCGAAAGCCCCTTCAAGCCAGAGGAGTGGCCACTTGCTCCGCCTCCAATCGTGAAAGCCTCCAGGGAACGCGGGTTCCAAAGGCTTAACTACATAGATCAAACAGGCCACAGGCCCTGCCTGCTGCAAAGACGCAGTGTCTACCGCTTTGTCTGGTGGCACCTTGCCTTTGGCAACGTTGCTCTGCGCCTGAGTGTCAGCTGAGAAACCTAGACCTAGAGGCTGGCGGAGGCTGGTGGAGGCTGACAGTCTGCGATGCGACTCTGGCGACCCCCAATGTTGGGAGAAGCGACGTAGCTGAGCATTGTCGCAATCGATGAAGAATCCTTTTTCTTCGCCTGAAGGAACAGAGTGGCTTGCAAGAACAACCAGTGAGCATACCAGCTTTGCCTCAGCTGGGGCTGCTTGCGTTGTGCCTGCCAGCCAGCAGCACTGGGGTCGCTGGGGATTCCTACAGCCACTGTGCTACTGTGCGACTAAGTTCAAGACCATTCATTTCGTCTGCCTGCACGACAGGCCCGCTAACATCACCGGTGTCTGTCAACCGACAGTGGACTCGACGTGCGTTCAGCAAACCCGCCCGGTCACAACGACATGAAGACCCTACTGATTGCCAGTAAGCCGGAGCTTAGCCCTTTCTTGCGGTTAGAAGTTTGCACTCAGATGCCCGTGGCGGAACTTCTCATGCCAGTCTTTCCTGCAGTCATCCACCTTTGAGGTCTGCTCGACCACTGGACAAAAATCGGACTACACAGGAACGCCGCCATGTGCATGCAGTCAGATTTCTGAGCACCTGGGCCAGGGCAGGCTGAGCAGGCTGCCCAATCACCTCGCATTGCATCTGCTTCTCAGCAACTTGAAAGGGCGACTATGGGCGACTTCAAGCACCTGGGCCACGGCATCTGCATCCGCCGAAGGCTCAGCCTCTCGGGTGCACACAACCGAAGAACGAGGTGCCCAGATCTCCAAGCTTCTGGGCACCTCCGCCGAAGGAAGCTCTTCCTGCTGGGTCACCTCCTCGGCAGCAAAGTCCACACGAAGCACTCGGCGCCTTCTTCAGCGCCGACTGAGGAGTTGACAGCGACGGCAGCTGCCTTTGTCGGTTCGGGTGGCGGCGGTGGGGGTGGCTCCTCTTCGATTGGGCCTTCTGCAGCTCGCTGCGCGAGGCGGCGCAAGGCATCCTTGTCAAAAGCAGCTGGCTCCGGTGCTGCTGGAGCCGGCTGCTGCTCTTCTGGCGGCGAATAAGCTGCGTTCATCGCTGCATTGATCCTGGCCGAAGCTGCTAGGTGGGCAATGATGTCGATTTGACCTGATGCATTTGGAGGGGTGACGGCTGTGCCAGCACTTGCTTGCGGCAGTCCAACTAGAGGTGAAGAAGCGGGAACTGCGGTAGCAGCTGACGACTTGGCCGCCACAAGAGCAGCGATGACGGCTTGCGCTTGTGGTGACAAGGGGGCCGGTGCGGGTGCTGCACCACCTGCGGCAGCACCTGCTGCAGCGGCGGACCCACCCAAAGCGCTGAGAATGGCAAGTGCTTGTGGGTTCGGTGGTGGGGGTTGTGCAGTGCTGTCGATGTGTGCTGCTGGAGGGGGCGTGCCAGCAGTTGCTTGCGGCAGTCCAACTAGAGTTGAAGAAGCAGGAACTGCGGTAGCAGCTGACGACTTGGCCGCCACAAGAGCAGCGATGACGGCTTGCGCTTGTGGTGACAAGGGGGCCGGTGCGGGTGCTGCACCACCTCCGGCAGCGCCTGCTGCAGCACTGGATACACCTAAAGCGCTGAGAATGGCAAGTGCTTGTGGGTTTGGTGGCGGGGGTTGCGTGGCATTGGCTGGGCTTTGTGCTGCCAAGGCTGCTGCGAGTGCAGCTGTTTGCGGATTCTGCGGGGTAGCAGTTGCAGCGTTTTGCAGAGTTGCTAAAATGGCAGCTGCTTGTGGGTTTGGTGGTGGCGGCTGTGGAGGCGTGGGGCCCAGGAGTGCAGGGACGCTCTGCCAGGAAGCTGCCCCTGCCGGCAGAGGCAACCCAGGTGCAGATGCTGTTGGAGCTACCTCCGCAGGCAACGGAAAAGAGAAGCTTCAACGTCCTCAAGGAAAGGCAAGGCAGCATGGTCAAAGCTCGCACAAGAAAACATCAAAGGACGTCAGAGACACGGCCTTAGAATCCCTTGTGTGTGTCTTATGATGCCCCATGCCTGACAATACCATTCAGAGATTTCCAGTACAACACCTAAACAGCCTCAAACTCCATTGGTGAACCTCATAACCAATTGGCTCCCGAGACACTGGCAGCCAGGTTGGGAAAAAGAAACAGCTTGCTGGGATTCGGTTCGTACTGCATCTTCAGGCCGCGAGTGTAGCAACGCGAAAGTGGGAGATTACAGCGATGATTTGACGGCAGCCGAGCCCCAGAATCCCTAAAGGTCCGGAGCCATGCCATTTCCCGGCCCCGCCCCAAAACGCGACGCCTGTGGCGTCTCCGAGGCTTCTCCGCTCCGAGGCTGCTTGGCGGTCGCGGCCTCAACTCGCTGTCGGCTACACGTCGGCCCATGTCGGCCCATGTCGGCCCGCCTGCAGCGCTTCTTCTGCTGGCCTGAGCTCTAGACTCTAGACAGCTCTAGACTCTCTGGACGGAGACGGGTGTCAGCGTCGCCTCTTTTGTGGAGCTGGCGCTTGCCTCAGCCGAAAGGCCACTGCGACGAGACCACGAGAGCCCTCACCCGCCGAGATGCGGATCCCGCCGACGGCCCTCAATCAATACCATGACCTCGGCAAAACGACGCTGACATATGCCGCGATTGGAAGCTGCATAACACGCGGTTGATTTTTGCAGGCGTGTGGACCTCTCAGTGCCAGAGACCGGTGTAGTGCGCCCATGGTCGAAAGAGGCACAACCGTGATGCACAGGAAGGCGACATGGCTGCAACGGCTTGCATAGCATGATCTATCACCTGCATTGCTGCTTTGGTCCTTCGGCTTGTGCAACCTTGAATCGCATGAAGTGCATCATGTCAGGACGGCGAATCCGTGAATTGGCACAAATTTGCCGCCTGCAGTCAGACAACTATCTGAGAAGGGCTCTCGCAACAGCCTAGCAGGAGAGCTTCTAGGGTTTAGGGTTTAGGGTTTAACATGGGATGGATACTGCAGGAACTCGGTGTATAATTGAATGTGGTTTCCCGCCTGGAAGCCTTCCTAAGCGATGTTGGATCAGCTTGCTCTTCATGGATTGTCATAGGCTCAAGCACTGCTCCCCGAGTCAACGGTGGTAGCGATGTACACTCACACTCACGGACCATCCGCGTGCGGAAACTGAAGCAGGCAGGCATCGCTGGCTGCGAGTCACACGGCCACACCGTAGTCTGTCGAAGTCCAGGAAATGAGACTTCACCTCAATTCTTCGAGGCTGATGTCCCTCCATGCGCATCCGAATATCTATCTCGGGCTGATGGTAAGCTCGGAGCATTGATAGTGCGATGCTCCGCTCGGCGGGCAACCCAAAGCCTTGTACTATGTTCGAAGCACGCTCCGATGGTAAATCCAGAACAAACGCGGCCAGCTTGAGATCCAAGCTCTGCTTCTGCTAGGTGCTCCTGACACGTCGATATGCTGGAATTCCTCGTCTTCCCTGTGGCCCAGTGGCAGGGACAAGCAGCTTGCAGCCAGACAGGCTGAAGTCGAGTCCTCCGCATCAGGTAGCAAGCGGTGCCGCACTCTGACGCGCCTCAGGGGCCAAAGGCGGCCAAAGACTTCAAGAAGCCAAAGACACAAACGCTGAATTCTGAGGAGCCAGGCTCGGACTTCTTGAAGAACGCCGATCCCTAGCAAATTTTGCAGCACGCCACATGAACAATGCACTTGACACCACTGCCCCATGCTTGCCAAAATCCTCCTTGCAGATCACTAGCTCAGCCTGCATGCCCTCTCATGCCCTCTATGTATCTTAGTACAATGCTTTCACAGTTTAAGCTTCAAGCCCCCATCTGCCCCTGGCAGTATCAACATTTTGCGGGTACTTTCATGAGCAGGGTTCTTAATAGCGTGGCTTGTATTCCCCAGGGGGGGGGGGGCCGCAAGGTTGACTTGCAGCTTTGGGTTTGGAATGGCAGTGGCATGACTGTATACGGTTATGCAGCATTGCAGAACTAGACCATGCCATCAATGCAGCCACTACAAAATGCGGGCAAGTCGTTCTTTCGGATGCAACATGAGAGATCGTGTGGGCTTGGCTGGCCTGCAGGATGAATTTTACAAAGGGCCTTCAAAAAATGCTCAGGTTTGGCGTAGTTTCCGCATGGGAGCAACGTCCGAGGAAGCCGGCAGGTCAATGGAAACAAGCGAGAAGCAAAACAACGAAAAACCAGGAAGCATAGGCAACACGCCAAAGATAAAGCAGAAAGCGACAAGCAGAGAGCCGCAGGCAAAGGACGTAGGGAAAATTAAAGACTGGCAAAGACGGAAAAGACCGATGCCAACAGACAAAGTGGAAGGTAGGTGTTGACAAAACAAACGCTACAACACATCCAGTGTGTCAACAATAACCTGAGACTGCCGGAAATCGCGACCTCTTCGATTGAGCCGAACTCACTAGTACGAGGACTGGCAGCCACTGCTTTTCAGCACCTTGACCCGTCGGATTCTCGTTGAATGTTTCCATACATAATTGTCGATAATCAGCTGTCAATGTCCGCTTGCTGATGGTTGCAATGTCCGGATATCATGCTGTGAGGTCATTTTCGAAGTGATACACGGAACCCTAAATTGACGTTCGGGCGCCGCTTCCCAAATCAAGCAGCATTGCATGCTGTCGCTATCATGTTTTTAGGCGCCAGCGAGTCCCACGGTCCTCCGTCGAGCATCGGATATCTTTGAGCTGCCCTTTCCCTGCACCCTTTGGCCCTTTTGGATGCCGACGAAGGCACGAGAGATGGCTGGAAGGAGGTCGCCGGTGAAAAATCCTCCGAGTCCAAGGGGACCTGCCAGCTGTGCTCGGGATCTCCTCATCCCCTGGCCCTGCTCTTCCGCATTCGGCCTCCAAGACTTCGTTGCAGAACTGCCTATAGTTGAAGAGGCCTCGCCAAGCGGGGTTGGGGTTCGCTCTCCGCGTGTATGAGTACGGACAGGATTCCGCCGTCTCAGGCTGAGAGCTGGTCCGTTCAGATCGAAGAGCCGATGCAACATCTCGAGCTCCTGAGGTCACTGTCGAGTGCGCGTTTCGGCGTTTTCATGCGTATTCAATCTTCACTCCCCCTCCTTCGAGTCCAGCTCGATTCGAAGAATTGTGAAGACGGTCCTGGCCTGCATGTGCCAGGTGTGAAAAGACAGTCAAACCTCGATCTGTTGACAGCCTGTCCCATGCTGACGGCACCGCGACGCAGGCGGTCTACCTCCTGGCGACTTGAGGGCGTCTTCCTTATGTCAGCGCTTGAGCATGGAAGACACGCCTGGAAGCTTCCATGCAAGCGGAGGCGTCTGGAAGCGATCTCAGCCTCCGGAAAAGCAAGCGGCCCTAGGCCCTAGATTGCTTGCCACAAGACATGCTACAAAAAAAGAATGCACGCTGACATGCCTTGAGTCTTGCCATGAGCTCTGAATCAAACTGCTCTTGATCCTGAAACATTGCGTCGTATGCTGGGAGACTCCATGAAACGACACTAATAACTTGCTATGAAACGGCGTCTGTGAAGAGTCCTGGCTGCTCGGCAGTCGCATGGGCTCTCGGCCGCTCCAGGCCGCGGGCCCTGCCCACTGACGCCTGGGCTTTTTTGAAGTTCCATGAATGCTAAGCTGCTACAGTAAGGCTTGGAGGCTTGGGCAACGACATGGACATGGGGCTGCGCGCGCTTTGTGACAGCTGCACACTGGCACAACACGCTGCATGATTAACACTGCAGTGCTCAGACACTCCCTGTCACAAACCTCCCTGCACATGGCTCGTCTATGAGAGACTGGATTTCTTTGTCCAGTGCCTTGCAAACCAGGCATGTGGAACTGAGCTTCGATTCAAGGGGCTCGAGCGACTGGGGCGAGGACCATGTAGCTAATCCCACCAGTATCAGCATTGTAATACCGCTGAAGCAACAGGCTCAGCTCATGTTCCGAGATGTCCTTCAAGGCGCGTGCGAGTCCCGGCCATGCGCAAGGTTCCCAAATGCACTTTCCTACGGGGGTTGGCTCAGATATGAGCTTCGATTTGCTGGAGTGTCCATAGCATGGGTCTGTCGTCTCGCGTTGGTCCTGGTGGTACAACTAGAAGACAAGAACCATACCAAGGAAGTGTTTGAACTTGCATTATCAGGCTATGTTCCCATTTTCACAAGCCGCAGCTAGCGTGAACACGAAATTATCCAAAACCAGTCTGTCCTAGGTTCTTTTACCCTGAAGAGATGCGCGTGAATCCAAGTTTCATACTGAAAAAACAAACGCAGCACTTTTCGAAGCGGACACAGGACTGTGACGCTTTTCGCGGAGGTGCCGCTGGATTTGGTTAGTGAAGGCGCGAGGCGCCCGCAGTATAGGTGCAGGTTCGGCGGTTCCGCATCAGAGGGCATCACTGTTCAAGCACCAGTTGGCCTTCAAATCGCGGAGGGCCGTGAAATCGTGCTCCCACCACGCATTTTGGCCATAGGCTCCATAGACATGTTGTCTTCTGAAAGAATTTCAATGCCACAATCTTCCCGCAAGGCATGGGAAAGCCGTTCTCTTCTGCAAAAATGTGAGCATGTGAGCGTTGAGAAGCCTCAAGCGTTTGCTGAAAATGACGCTGGTAAGAAGCTCAGGCACGGAGTGTCGGCATGCAGGAGGGCTGACAAAGTGGCATGGGTCCCCTCTCCCCTTTGGGATTGGCCCACGGGCCGCAACATACCGCCACCGACTGTGAGGCCCCGAATCTCGTTTGACAAGCAGTCCCGAGAGGAGGATGCCATCTTAGTCTGTGTGCATACTGCCACCAGGAACAATCTTGCAGACATGGTTGCATACATGACCCAGAGATGGCATTCTCGGTGGATGCTGGCAACCCTTTTTAACACTATGTGCTGTGGTTTTGTGTGTCGTGCACGCAACGATGACTGGCACCCGAAAAACTCGAAAAGTCGAGAACTTTGCTTTTTTATGTCTGCCGAAAATCACGAAAATTTGAAAATTCGAGTTGCTTTTGCTTTGTTTCGTCTCAAAAAACGCGAAAACTTGAAAGTTCTAGTTCATAATTAGAGAATTATCGAATTGTTCAGGATGTTGAAATAATTTTCGTTTGGCTTCCTTTCCAAAACAAGCGAAAACTCGAAAACTCTAACTTTTGTGTTGATGTCCTCTTTGTTTCGCTTCAAGGAAAAAGGCGAAAGTTAAAAAAAAAAATCGATCGTTTGAAGATGTTTGAAGGATTCTCGATTTTTCGAATTCTCGAGTTTGTGAGCTGTCGAACGTATTATCGTTTTGTTCATTTTTGTTCCTTTCCAAAAAAGCGAAAACTTAAAAATCAGAATGTTTGAATGTTCGAATTTTCGAGATTTTTCGCAGGCACTGTAGTTGCAGTCGTTGTCGTGGGTGCATTCGCAGTGGCACATCAGTCGTGCTAGTCGTAGTACTAGCGGTGGTAGTACTAGTAGTGGTGCTACTGCTACTGCTACTGCTACTGCTACTGCTACTGCTACTGCTACTGCTACTGCTACTGCTACTGCTACTCCTACTGCTACTCCTACTACTACTCCTACTACTACTACTACTACTACTACTACT